TTTAATTTGCTTGGAGAAGAATTGTACACAATTTCAATTCTCTTTTTACAAGTGGCTTACTTGGAGAACAATTGTTCACAATATTAATTCTGTTTTTTTTTATTAGTAGCCCGTAGACCATTTTTTTTGTATTGTTATGTTTATTACTATTAAGGAAAAGAAAGTATTACTTTTACTATTAATAAAAACATTTATAACAGATGCTCTATCATCTGTGGAAGAAACTGATGCTAAATGAATCGAAAACTAACGGAATCATGCCGAAGATTGATAAGGAGATGCTGAAAACGATGCAGAAATGCTGAATGATGAAGAGATGCTGAAAAACAATGAGAAGATGCTGAAAAACAACGAGGAGATGCTGTAAAAAGAACGCGAGAAATGGCGCAATTCCGTGTCGCATACTAAAAAGGGAGCTTGTTGTTTTTATTAGCATGTCGTCATGTTGAAAAATCACAAACCGCATTTGTTGATATTCGTGACGAAATCTGCTGCTGTTTTGCTGAACAAACAGTGGGAATTAGCTGCTGAAGAGCTTACCGGATTGGGAAATTTGCGACATTGTTGATAATCGTTGCTGTGAGTTCTACCGGTTTTGGAAATCGGCAACGCTGTACATACATCGACCCGGCGTTATCGACATCCACGGCTCGTTTTCTGCCGTTTATCCCTGAAGAACCGTAATCGAGGAAATTTGTCCATCGACTGTAACAATACATGTACATGTACAAGCTATTTTTCAAACCAAAGCATTTTATTTTTGTTACACGCAATTTGATTTGAGTCATTTATATCGATCAAATTCTAATTATGGATATATTGATAAGTACAAGATCGTTTAATTGGTAGTTCAACCTTTCACAACATGTGTTCTTTCTAAATTGCTCGCTCAAATTACATGTACATGTACATGTATTTAAAAGAAGAGCATATAATGCTACCCACAGGACTTGTCAAAAGGTCAAGGGAATCTCAAAATGAAAATTATCATGCTCTTTGCTGTTCTCGTTATATTCACTAGCTCGGTAATTACAGATTTCATATATCATATCGATATATATCATACACATCAACAATCGCCGCACTTCCCACTTCCTGTGATTTTTGACACAGACGGTGATTACGACGACTTCCTTGCGATTCTTTACGCGCTTAAATCCAAGGAGCTTGATGTACGAGGCGTTACTTACCAAGGAGGTGGATGGTCCCATGCAGGTAATGAATATGCTATGCCGCTCTACGTATAATGAGATGTTACATACTAAATAAATTGCGATAATGTTTGTTGATAGCTTCGGCCCAGAATATTGTTGATATCATCGACGACATTTATCCTGGAAAGAACATTCCTGTAATACTTGGCGCTGATTATAGCCTCTATGAATCTGACAGAAACCCCAATACTTTAGGTAGCCCAGGCTGTACTCACCAGAAATCGGTCCCGGAAGGTGCAGGCGGAAGACGCGATACTGATTTGCTGTTCGGTCTCAATCGAAAACTCAGACTGTCAAAGCGGATATGGTATGACGCTATTAAAGGATTTAATATCACCAAAGACTTTTCTGACCTCATCGACTCTACGATTAAACAAACTGGCAAGAAACCTGTAATCATAGCAACGGGCCCAGTTACCAATATCGCTAAACTTCTACGTGCTTTTCCAACTTACACTACAAAAATCGAACGAGTTTTCTGGATGGCCGGTGCTTTAGATATCGCTGGAAATATGTATAGCGTGCCAAATAATACTCGTGCCGAATTTAATGTTTATCTTGACTGTGTTGCTGCTCAAGAATTACTTGCCGCCACTGACCTGAAAATCACTTTGATACCCCTTGACTTTACAAATAAAACACCGCTCAATACTGCTTTTTTTAACAAACTTTCAGCCCTCACAAGTTTCTACGGAAAGTTTGCATATGAATTTTTATCCATGATTCGCGCGACATGGTTGGGTGGTGATCCTGGATTTTTTAGTGGTTTTTTTCTCTGGGATCCTAAAGCTGTTGCTGTCGTCAAAAATGTTGGTATCGCAAAGATTGCACCAAATCGCACCTTGGCTGTTACCTGTGAGGGAAACGTGGATTACGATGGTCAGTTCGTAGTTTCTCAAGTCTTGATCAAAGCAAATCTTCAAATTGCCGTTGAGCCTATTATTAGTAACCCTGTTGACAACTCTCCATTCTTCCAAGATTTCATCAATGTTCTTAGAAATTAATATCAATAAAATCGAAGTTCTCCGCAAAGTTCATATTTACCAGAGGTTGACATTGAAAGGTCAAAAAGACTATGTGATTCTTTTTATGCATTTTTTATGAAATATGAATAACCAGAATTTTTCGGTGCAAATTTGCGTCAGCTATATAAAAATGATGAAGCGATTGGACGTTGAATAGGAAAAGTCTCAAGTTGTAGATGGTGGCGGTAGGATATATTAATCATATAAGCGACTCCACAGCAAAAGTGTGAATTGAAAAAAAACAGCGATTCTTTAAAATAATTCCTATCAAATTATTTTAAAAATTACTAGCGGTAGAGGTTTTGAGGTTTAAAATAAGTTTTTGATCATCTTGTTTGGATCATTATCGAGGTACTTTTATGGACACGGTAATTTGTTATGATAAATGTGTTCTTTAGAAATCGACAGATTTATTATTTGACTATGTTTGGTTAACTGTCAAACCGTTTCCAAACACTACTTCTGGTAAATAGTAAAAGGGAAGAAATTACACACTCCGCTCCCCTCACTATAACGAATTTGTCGGGCTGAAAAAATCAGTCCGTTATAGTGAATCTCCTGTCACAGGTAGAAAAGGGTTGGTACACTAGTGGTTTTTTTTGTTGACCTCTAGAGGAGTTCCGGATGGTTTTGTTGAGGTTTATATGATTTTCTCCTAAATTCAATGAATTATTAGAGATTCATTAAGAAACCACTAGGAAATCCGGAACTCCTCTAGAGGTCCACAAAAAAACCACTAGTGTACCAACCCTTTTTCTACCTGTGTGTTATAGTGTTGTCATTCTGACACATTGCTTCGCTATAACGAGGAATCCGGTTTAACGGTCCGCTATTACGAGAATGGAGTGTATAATGAAATATTGAGATTTCTTAGATATTACAACAATGGTCAATACCATGTTCTACTGAAAATAAGCAGCACATTCAAAAAATAGCAAAACGGTATAATAAATACCGATATAGCATATCCTGTCGGGATAGGCACCTCTTCGTAAATGCGTAAGATAAAGTTAAACCGAAATGCTTTCTTTAGGCATCAAACGTTGGGGTGTGAAATATTCTACAGATTTGTTTCACTATATATAAATTTTTCTTATAATGCTTATATGGTGCAGCAACTCTTAAATCGACAATATGTTTCATGTTCAACTTTTTAACGAAGAAGTAAATCCAAAATCTAACCAGTAGGTAATATTAAAATTACCGGTTAGATTTTGTATTTACTTCTTAGTTAAGAAGTTGAACATGAAACATATTGTCGATTTAAGAGTTGCTGCACCATATCGAAAAGCTATAAGCTTTTAAATTTTGTATTTATTAATATTGTTTTTTAAAAAAAAAATTTATTGTTGAATTGTTAAAAAAACTTATTGTACTATAGTTTAATATTATTTTAAGAATATCTTTTTTTCTTGAAAAGTTAAGTTTTTTATTATTAACGTTAACTTTAATTATTTATTGTAACGATATAATAAAATTTATCAGACTTAACGTTAAAAAATTGATTTATTCAATATTATTGATTGTCACAATATTCCAATTTATTTTTAAGTCAAATTTGTACTTGGTATTTTTTTAAAAAATTTTATGAGTGTTGATCTAGACGTAATTTATATATATTCATGCATACTATTAATCTTTTATAAACTCTTATCTTTCAAACTATAACAATTTCAGTAAAAATTGCATAGGACCAGATCCCCTCTTCTATTATTTAATACTTCATCATTATTATCTGACATATCAAGTTCTTGTTCACTATTATTACTGTTCACTGTATATAATATCCAGGATCTTATTCAATAATTGTAGTTTAATAAATTAATAATATTCATGGGTATGAAACCAGGTATTATATTTGGAGTAATATATATTCTACAGATGATTTCTCATTCTATATCAATAAGTTGGCACTGAATAAACTTTTCTTAGTACACATTGAGTCAGAAATTAATAGTTTTTCTTAGTACATACACTTCAGCTTTGATAGTTGTATTTTAATAATTCATAATGGTTACTTTGTTATTTTGTTTTGTTTTGATTTTGTATTGATTTTATATTAGTTTGTTATGATTTACTTTTGTTATAATTGATTTTATGATTTTGTTTCATTATAATAATACTGAAAGTATTAGAAAAATGGCAACATGATATAGAAACATCAGAATTATTCTTACTTTTATAATCCCTTTCTTAAATACACATTCACCTGACTCTCCCTTTATAATTCCTTTAATTTCTCCCTTATATATTTTATTCCTTTAATTATTTCTTTAGTTATTTGACTCTTTTAGTTAGTTTTTATCACTATATCAGTTGATATAGGCATAGGACTTAGATACCCCTCTCCCATTTTAATATTTAATTTATTTGTCTAATCCCCTCTCCCAACCCAAGTTCAAGTTTGCTAGCTAATTTCATAATTAGTGAACAAACCTGTAACAATACCCTTGAGAATGAGCTCGCCGCGCAGCAAAACGAAATAAATTCAACTATATTCAAATTATTGGTTAAATAATATATAATATATAATAAATATATAATTTATTGTGCTTAATTTATTGTGCTCTATCAAGTTTGTACAAAGAAATCAAATAAAACACATGCTGGGTTTCAACGAACATGTAAATGTTTGCAAAATTATTTTTAGGTTCGTAAATCATGTGTTTTTGCATTGGTCAATGACGATGACCAATAGCACTATCAATGTCTAACGCTAACAATACTGGCTCGTCTAATTATGACGATGCTGGTAATCTGTGTTTTGATGAAAAACCCCCTTAGTTCCGACTGAAATTAGTTTTACACTTCTAGAACTATTGCTCATTTATAATACAACGATAAAATAGAAGTTTTAAATAAATATCAGCATTGGTATTTAAAATGTGCTATACATAAACGCGGACATCAAATGAGTATGAACAAGCGGACTGGTTAGCATCTGATATTGACTGTCAACCAAAGACGTTTCCAGTACTTTAAAATTCAAGGAATCAAATTGTCAGTCTGTAAGCATAGAAATTTTAACGATAAGTCTAAAAGTGTTCCAATCATCTCGTCCAATCAAACAGTTGCAGAGAACATGGGAGTTTGTATCGGTAGATGAAAAAAGAAAAATATATGGAAATGAGGTTTTGCGATTGTTAGTATGTTCTAATCATTTTAATTCTGATCAGGATGAAATTCATGAGAAGGAAACAAAAAATCAAGCCTCGATTAAAGAAACTTGGATCCATCAGCGTCGTTGTTTATTTTTATTCTGTTAAAGAAGCTTTTTGGCAGCTTATCAATCAATTACAAGAATCTTTTAATTCAGAAAATCCTCTTTCTCACTTTTATTTAAGGACGCGACATAAAACAACGAACAAGGTTTTTATCGGTTATTCAAATGTTATAATATTGGAATACAACAAATCAATGCAAGATGTGACAAAACTTGAAGTGCGCACAACAGTTGAGCGCCGTAAAATTACACAAAAAATAATACTAAACGACCAAAAATCAACACGTGAAAATTGTAAGAACAAGAATGCAAATGTCAATAAATATTTTATATATTTTCATGCACTGTACATAGGGTTTTGTCCGGAATTGAAAAAGTGTGATTGTGACAGAGCCACAAACTTTAACATACTGTTTTTTTCACCCGTTTATAATTGTTGTTGTTTATTCCTTCTTTGTGAGGATATTCTCAAAATAAAATATTCAAATTATAAAATCTGTAATTTTGGCATTAGTTCTCATTTACGCTTTACGTTGCTCATAACGATAATAATGTAAAAATATATTATTTTTTTAGACTAAAAATCGAGAAATAACCTATGTGAAAATTAAGTCGCTTAAATTTCTGCATCACGATAAAATTTTTTGTATTTTATCTTTTTTATAATCCTTGAATACCATTAAATACTGATAATTGTCTTTATCATACTAAATACATGTACATTAGATTGTGTCAGATTGGCTTTTTGAAGATAACGATGACTCAAAATATGATCCAAAATGTGTAGACTGTGTCGGTTCATTATGTTCCTATAATAACACATTTTGAATTCTAAAATCCAAAATCTCTCCTCTCTACAACTTCCGGATTGGAGCAGCTAAATCCCACAAGGACAAAAATTGACCTCGGGTGCAACCAGAAACTCTTCACGATGATACCAATCCATAAAATGTGGTTCCAAAATTTTAGGTGGTAGTTGGGTGAGTTTGTTGTTCAAATACGAATACTTTGATAATTCCGACTGAATCAAAATTATGGTCGATTACGAGTTAGAAAGTTGGACATAAACTATAATCAAATATTCAAACAAATATATCACACATAACAAACAGATGAAGATTCAATACAAATAAGAGTGAACAACAGTTTGTTTTCAATCAATCACGCTTGTATTGCGACTTCTAGAATACCGTCAAAGATACAATACCATTCTTTATATGTTAATGAGTATCAAGACGTGCTAACGCTAAAGGACGAAAGGATACGCCGAACAATTACAGTCAAACGTCAACGACTGTAAAAGCTGGTTTTATTGAAAAAGGAAAAAGGGGAACACTAAAGCCAGGTAGTATTGTTGATTGTCTTTATGCTTCTCAATATAGTATGGTGAGTGAGCATTTTTACTTGTGTCAAAACTAGTATATAGTGGTTATCTGTTACAGATGATCTTGCAATTGGATTGGTCAAATTTGTATGTTACACGTGAAACTACCCGGCCCGTTGTAGGGAATACGTATTATCTTGAAGATCATTTGTTGGATGTTCCACCTTTCGACGATTATTTATTGAAAAAACCAGTTCCGCAAAGGAAAAAAGGGCTAACATTGATGGTAGTGTCACTAAATCGAAAGAAAAATGAGGATTGTATATTTTTTTATCATCTAAAGTTTGTTTCTACACTAGAACCAAGATTCCACTGGACCTTCATAATAAATAATTTTTAAAATTTTGTAGCGTTCACGCGCGCTACTACGTAGTTGTAATTGTTATAATCAAAATATCCTATTTGCCCGATATCCAGAACCAGAGTTTTCGATATACGTATAATATCCAGGTAAACAATGACTTTTTCACTATCGTCCATTGATATTGTCGTTACTACTTAACGTTAATAACTACAAAATTCTCTTGAAACAGATTTATAGTAGACAAAAATGTTTATAGCTACGATTTTGATAAAAACCTAAAAGATAAAATAATCGATTAATATTCAAACACAAAAAAAATAGCGAGTCAAATTTACTTAATATTCATTTCACATTTTTCATTATTTCACATCGTTGGGCCTTTTTTCCTTATTCAATTATCGAAGAAAAACAGACGAATTTCTTGACTTACAAGCAGATGTGGCGATGATTCCAACAAAACGACTTTTCTTGCTTCTATTTTATGAATAATTAGTTGATCAGACAAAAATAAACTTTTTAAGACACAATGATGACAATAATGGGAGTCTTACTTGATTCATCCTTTTTTTTATTAATTCATTCATTTTTTGACTCAGTCAACTCCAATCATTTTAAAAGTTACAATCACCACCACCACCACCACCACCACCATCATCATCATCATCATCATCCCAATTCCCTTTATCAGCAGCTTCAAAAACATTATTCCAATCATTGACGCCAACTTCATCATCCTTTTCACCACCACCACCGCCACCGCAACCATCATCTTCTATTCCAGTAATAATAGACAACACCAGCAACCCAACAGTACACACAAAAATATACAAAAATATCTCACGAACACACATTATCACCAAAATATGCATAATTAATAGAATGTAAATTATTAATAGTGTCATTGAAAAATAGTAAATGAAGTTGTATAGTATTACTCTTGGGAACATTGTTCTTTTTTTGGTCTTTTGATTTTGGTATTTGAGATTTTAATGGCGAGTCACAAAAAAAGAATGTAATAGATCGATTCGATGGAGAAGCAAAAATTTTATTTGGTAAGTAATTTATCAGTTGTAGCCATCCTTCTACCGCTACATTAATATGTAAAAATCTTCGATTCTCAAAATAATGATAATAACGATAGTAAATACATATACGTAATCTGATTGATGCTCAAAATTGGTTTAAATAATGTGATCCAAATAGATACATCATTGAAAGGAATTGAACGATTACGAAATCCTACTCTACATATATGCATAAACAATCTCTCGATTTTCACATTTTAAAGCACGTTATGTAAGATATAATTCTATAGTGGGAAATCGTTCGGTATTAGAGCCAGAAATACATTTCGATAACGATCGATGAAATCATATTTGTATTTCGCGGTGACGATGTGATCATGGTGAATTTGAATTATAACGGGAAAATAGTCGATTAAATTTTTTATATGCGTTTTTTTGAAAATTTGTTAGTAATCTGAAGTATGAATGAAAGTCAAGTGGATTTCGATCTTTGCAGATGTCGTGGTAAGTGGATTTCTTTACCAATGTTTTCATTGTTCATGCGAACTTCTTACAGATAATGTGCGCAAAATTCACAAACACAACAATGACGATAAAAAGGAACTCAAAGATGAAAGCTAAAACTCATGATTGTAATAAATGCTTCTATTGTCAAGAATGTAAGTAATGCGATGAATGTTTAATTACTAAGTTAAAACCATATTGTCGCTAAAAAATCAAATAAAATTAATGACAAATACACCAACTTCCAGCGCAAGAGCTTCATCCACTACAGAACATTCAAGTACCGCAACACCAACAAGCGGCGGTCGCGGCAACTTCAACGGAAACCTCAATTATGGCAGTGGTCACGGAAACGGTTACGGCAACGGATTAAACTTCAATTCCCTTTACCGTTTGGTGGTGCTGGTGGCGACTACGATTTTAATGGATATGAGTGGGTTTGGATAATGTTAATGGTAACTTTAATGGGAATGGTGGTGGAGCTGGTGCTAATTTCGATGGTAATGGAAATAAGGAAGTGGCAATGGAAACTTTAATGGTAATGGAAATGTGGGAGTCGAGACGGGAACAGAAATGGAAACGGAAATGGAAATGGGAATTGGGGCTGGAGTAATCTGAGATGGGAATTAGAAGTACAATATTATCCGACTATATTTAACTATAGCATTTCTTTTTATTTATTTATAAGTCGAATCTCAGTAAACATTTATAAAATCTGTGCCCAACAAATATTAGCTAATATCCATTTTATTATAGGGAACTCTCCCACCTTCTGAGATTTCATTTAACAAATGTACGTGAGATTATATTAATACCTGAGATTTGGCCATCCCCCTTCCCTCCGGAATATTTGTCACTCCCTAAGAATGTGTAAATTTTTGATCAGCCCGGCAAAACAAATCTGACACCGTAAAATAAAGAATGCGAAAAATACGAAACAGATGCCTAAATCTAACTTGGAACACTGATCAAAAAAACGGGGAGGAAATTTTACATATAACATTAACTCCCACCCTTAATCCTAACCCTAATTAATCTTTAATTATTGTCATGTGCCAGGTTGCAGTTACTGCACAATTTATCGAACTTCACAACTTTCTATTAGGTGTTATTTGGATCTATCACCTGAAAAAATGTTGCTTCATTGACTTGGTGGTTAGTACATGAAAGAATATTCAATGCTGTCTGTGATTATTTATGTATACAGACAACAAGTGCTGGTAATACACTCAATCACACTAGAAATCATTTACTACTTGAAACAGCAAGCCATTCTCTATATAAAAAAACTGTATTGGTGAAAATTAGATTAGAATAATTTGTTAGTTTCCATGTCTTATTTTTGATTCTTGATTTTTAGCATTGTTTATTTACTTTAATTATTCAATTAATATTGAACTTTCATAAATATTATTTTAATATAAACAAATTATTTGAACTCTTTATTACAAAGAATAGCTATTAGTTAATAATGTTTGAACAAGATTCAATAGAAGCAAACTATTAAATAGTATATAACTTTCTAAATCTCAAAAATTGAGTGAATACAAAAATGTAATGGAATAATTATATCTCAATTTTTGTGTGATTGGATTAATTTCTGTGATGTTATAGTCATTTTTCTCAACTAACTCAATCATGATTACTACGTTGATGATTCATAACACGTTATTACAGATTTTCGTACTAAGTAACTATGTATCGAGGCACTAAATAAAGTTGTTCAGCAAGTAATAAAGTAATTATATCTCGAATTTTGTATTGTTTAGATTAATTTTCCTAAAATTTTCTCAACTAACTAAATTATTATTACTTTGTTAGTATTTATAATAGATTTTTAAATATATAGAACATACAGAGAGCAAATACATGTAACGGACGGTAACCACCTGTATATCACTGTAAAAATACAAATGTAATCACCTGTTAGTTGTCAGGTATAAAGATTAACTGTAAAAAACCAGGTATTTATAGGGATTATACATATACTTACATTGATGTTATTACAGGTAACTTCAGGGAGTTTTTTCTCATAGGACAATAATAAGTTTAAAAATTCTTGCAAAATTCACAAATTTCCTTTTCCTACATATTCAAAATCTCATTGTCAAAGAATCATATGCTATCTCAAAGAAATTACAAGAAGAAAAATATTACAACTGCAAAATGTGATTGCAATTACTATATATTATCATATTGCCACATTTTTCACAAGTAGCTTTGTGATGATACTGATATTCTAATATTCAAAATATGAAGAAGTATTTAAGAAACTTTTGAAGATGATTCGGAGATGTATCAATCTTACAATTTAGTGAAAATATTTCAGCCTCAATTAGAAATTGAGATGGTTAAAAAAAACCAGTCAATAATGGATGAGTTCATTTAAAAGAACAAGAAATCAATAATATAATTGGATTAATTAAGACAATATGGAAAAAGTAAAAAGATTTATTAATCATTTAGAGAATATTTTAAAGTCTATTATTGAGCAAAAAAATATTACAGCATTTGATTTTAAATAATTTTTTAATATTTTCTAATTTTATATATAGTTAACATGTATAATAAAAAAAATTAAAATGTAATAGAATTTTTAACAGGAAGAAATGATTTCTTTTACAAATAGTTAAGCTTTTGTAAGTAACTAAGAAATATAAAAGAAACTAAACATTATGAACAATTCCAATATAACCAAATCTTAATTAATATTTATTACTGATTACAAATTTATATTAAGATCGAGTCAGATCAACTATCTAATCTAATTTGAATCTTCAAATCGGATCAGATAGAGTTAAAATATATCAAATTTGATCAAAAATAAATAAATTATAGCTTATTAAATTTGTTTTATAAATGAATCTTAAAAATATAAAAAAAATGTTATCTTAGCATTCAGTCATCAAAAAAGATAAATTATAATTCATTGAATTTATCTCATCAAGACAAATTTAATGGTAGTTATTTCATTATTATATAAGATTTTGAAATTTTGATTAAAATTTTCAGGTTGAGTTAGGTTAACTTTCTAATTTGACTTGCATTTTTCAGATTAGATTATCGAATAATTCAAATTATTAGATTAAAAGTCAAAATTTTAGCTAGTATGTATTTAATTTATCAATTAATTAATTATGATAATATTTCTTTCTATCTCTCCCTCTATTTTATCTTAATATATATATGAATATATAATAATATATACATATATACATATAAAAATAATAATTATAAGTATAGAAATTTTTAATAATAATAATATGATAATAAGTTCAGATTTTGATAACATATAATTATATATTATTGATCAAATAGAATATCTGATAAACTAATTAAATGACTTATTTTAATATACATACATTAAATAATATTCAATATAATCTATCACACATTTTAAATATATAATGTATTTTACTAGTTATATTAAATATTATATTATTGCTAAATGATTATTATTTTCAAGTTAATATATATATATAATATTAATTAGAATTTTCAAGAAAAATGATTATATAATTTTATATAATAAAATTTAACTAATCAAAAATAATATATATAATATTTCAAGTACTAAAAATTTTACTTTTATTATTGAAATTAATGTTAAAAAAATCTAATTACAAATAATTTTTATAATAAAATAAATATAATATTATAAATTATATTAAAAACTTTAATAATATATTTGTTTTAATAATTATATATTTAAAATTTTTTTATAATACAAAGTATTTAATATGATTAAGTAAAATATATTATAAGAGATAATTATTATTAATAATAATAATATATTATTATTTATCAAGCAAAGATCTATTTATCTCTTATTTATTCATTTTTTATTAGCTTATCTTATTTTACTATTTTGTTAGCTTATCTCTATTACTAAAGATACTGATAACTTGAATTAACTCTTGAAAATATATATAACTACAAATAAACTTTAAATAATCAAGTTGTTTTTTGAAATTAAAAAAGAGTTTTCTGATTAAAGACAAAGAGATTAAAATTATAAACATATAATATTTAACAAAAATATTCCTATACTAATAATTTTTGATTGATATATATAAATTCTATTGTATAGTATATATATATATTATAAATATTAATTATTAATATATTTTTATTGATTGATAGATTATATATTAAATATTATATATTTATAAACTTTCATACTTTAAATACAATAAATCAATCACTTTAGAATATAATATTGTTGTAATTAAATATTTTTATAATTACAAATAATTATTTCACATAATTACTTCATATAATTACTTCAAATAATTACTTCAAATAATTATTCCAAATAATCATTTCAAGTAATTATTTCAAATAATTATTTTAAGTGCTCTGAATAATTATTTCAAATACTTTGAATAATTATTCCAATAGTTATTTTAAATACTCTGAATACTTATTCCAAATAATTATTTTATAATTATTAAATACTTATAAATAAAGCATGTATCTTAATCTTAGAAAATACCAAAATTTGAAGTAATTTTAGTTTTATATTTTTTTAATAATTCTTTAAATATTATTTTTATAACATTTATCTTAATTATAAAGTTATTCTTATAATTTAATTTATACTTTCTTATTTATATTATAAAGTTATTCTTCTTATAATACTTATATTTAATTTTTTATCTATATTATAAAGTCAATAATATATATTTAAATTAATAAAAGAAATAATATTTTACTTATTTATAAACTAACTTTAAAAGAATATTTAACTTATTTATAAATTAAATTAAAGAAATATATAATTATCTTTAAATATTTCTAATTTTATTTTAACTAATCAACAAAATAAATATGTATTATTTATCTTTAAATAACTTAATATTTTCTCTTATTTTAAAAATTATTTATATAAACTTTCTTATTTAACTTAATCTTATGTGACTTCATATATTTTCTTGTATATTTTTTAATAATAAAACATAAAATTATATAAAATAGTAACAATATCTCAACATTTAGTAATTTGATTTGAGCAAAATTATTATTATTTGATTTATCTAATCTAAACAAATCAAATTATAATATTTTTACTCAAATTGGATCACTAGATATATATTAAAATAACTAATTTATAATTTACTGATTAATTTTTATTAGAAATTAATTATCTAAAAATAAATTGTACATGATACATATATGTATTTTAATTTCCAGTAATTTTATTCAAACAAAAATAATATTGTTTGATTTATTTAATAAGATAAATTGAATGATTTTATTTTTATTTGACTCAAATTATAGAAAATCAAGGTATCATATTCCATTTTTATTATATCAAAAAATGAATCTGCTACTCTAAAATGCAATATTTTGATATTTAGTAATCTAATTTGA